GCTCCAAGAAGGTATTTGAACCTTCAAGTTTCCAAGAAATCCAGGGTTTGGATTCAAAGGAAGCTGAGCCATGGTTAAATGCCATGAAGGCTGAGCTTGATTCCTTAGAAAGGAACAAAACATGGGAGCTAGTTCCAGTAGTTCCAGGAATGAAACTGCTTGGAAGCAAATGGGTCTTCAAAGCGAAGACAGATCAAAATGGCAAGATAGTCAGACACAAAGCCAGATTGGTAGCCAGAGGTTTTGCACAGGTACCAGGTGAAGACTATCACGAGACCTACTCACCAACAGTGAGGTATGAGAGCATTAGGCTTATGCTCAAGCTAGCTGCAGAAGAGAATCTACACGTTAGTCACCATGATGTGAATACAGCGTTTTTGTACGAATCTCTAGGTGAATCACTGTATATGCTTCCACCTGATGGCGTACAGGTAAAACAGGGATTTGTTTGTGCTCTGAAGAAGTCCCTTTATGGTCTCAAACAAAGTGCACGCTGTTGGCACACAAAACTCACTGAAGTATTGTTTTCTCTAGGTTTTAAGCAAGGGAAAGCTGATCCATGTGTATTTGTCAAAGAGGAGGGGCAAAAGAAGCTGTATTGTTTGTTTTATGTTGATGATATTTTGTTCTTTTGGAAAGATGTCACAATGTACAATAATGCCCTAGTTCAACTGAAAGAGCACTTTGACATGAAAGATCTTGGTGAGGTAAACAACTACCTATCTCTGGAAATAGAGAGAGATCAAGATGGTAACATTCTAGTACACCAGTCACAGAAAATTGCTGATGTGTTAAGCAAACTAAACCTGATGGATGCTAACCCTGTAGACACACCGGAAACAACAGGTTATCAGGTAGAAGACACTGAAGAAGCATTTTCTGACACTACACTGTACAGAAGTGTGCTAGGCAAGCTAAACTTCATTGCCAGGTGTTCAAGACCTGACATTGCTGTTAGCTGTAATTTGCTAAGCAGACAAGTCAACAATCCTAGTGTCAAGGATTGGAAAGCTCTGAAACGCATAGCGCACTATTTGAAAGGCACTATGCATTACAGACTGAGATTTAACAATCAGAAGTCTGGTGGTCTTGAGATATATGCAGATGCAAGTTTTGGAAGTGACACTACAGACAGGAAAAGTACGTCTGGAGTTTGCTACATGTACAATCAGGGTCTATTTGATTGGTCATGCAAGAAGCAAACAACAGTTAGCTTAAGTACTTGTGAAGCTGAACTGAATGCACTGTCTTATTCACTTAAGGATTGTGAATGGTTGTTACAATTGTGCAAAGACATGAAAATTCCTGTCAAATCTCCAATCCAGGTTTACCAGGACAACAAAGCATGTTTGGCTTTGCTGAAGTCTGAAGGTTGTAAGCAAAGCACGAAGCACTCTGCAAATACAACAAATCCTGTCTCTTTCTGAAACTTATGGCGGCTCCCTTTTTGTTGCTGCACCATCAAAAGCCCTTGTTCTTTTTCTCGATCTCACATGTCAAGCTTTTGGTAGTAAATTATTTCCACACAGTTTTTAATCATCCTGCTTAGGTCGGTTATGCAGCGGTTCTTTTTGAGAAGGGGTTATTGAAGAAAAGAAAAAAGTTTTCCCCCTCCATCCAGTCCCACTCTGGCATACTGAACCTGATGTAATTTCTTCATGATGTATTCCGTTAAATCCAAACCCGTTGCTCTCGTTTCACAGAGGCCACTTCAGTTAGCAGTTTTCACTCCCGTTCTTCACTTGAAATATGTGCATTTGCTTCATTTCCAATTAAATATCTCGAGCTTATGCAAACCAGTGCGCGATCAGAGACAGCGTCACCCGACTCCACCCGAGGGCTTTATGCCTAGTGCCCTCACCCCCTTCTTTTGAATCTGGGGGTGAATTATGGGCACAGCAAGCAAGGGAGGCTGCATACTCCCATCACAGCCTCTTAATTACCTCGTGTGGGTCGGAGAGATGTTATTGTCAGCCATCTTCCAATTCTCCCCCTGGTGCCCCCCCCCCGCATAGACAAATATGTCTTAAGTACCCATCACCCAAAAGTACAATCGAAGTTCCTTTGCATGTCTGGAGGCTGAGGCGAGTCAGGTGATGAGATTTGGATTCCTTTGGCTAACAATGAGCAATTTTCACCTCTGAGAACTTCCTGGAGTCCTTTTGCCAGGGGAAAATAGCTTTGGAATGGGGCGAACTGGGAAAGGAAATGATTTTATATTATTTTTAAAGTTAGGTGACTTCCCTGAGCTGTCTAGTTGGAAGGATATATTCAGGCATAATACAGTGGTGCCCCGCAACACGAATGCCTCACAAGACAAAAAACTCGCTAGACGAAAGAGTTTTCCGTTTTTTGAGTCGTTCCGCAAGACGAATTTCCCTATGGGCTTGCTTCGCAAGACGAAACGTCTTGCGAGTTCTTGCCAGTTTGTTTCCTTTTTCTTAAAGCCGCTAAGTCGTTAATAGCCGCTAAGCCGCTAATAGCCGTGCTTCGCAAGACGAAAAAACCGCAAGACGAAGAGACTCGCGGAACGGATTAATTTCGTCTTGCGAGGCACCACTGTATTTGTAATATTTAACTTTAAAGATGTGCCCCCCCTGTAATTTCCGTAACACTTCGCTTCTTGCGCGCGGGGGGGGGGGGGGAATCAGCAGAAGACCTTCGAAGGAGGACCTCCCTGTCCGGACTGATGCTCCTTCAGCATCTACATCCTTCAGATGCCCCTTCAGGTCTACAGGGCCGAGGCTGTTGAGGGCTTTAGGTTGCAGATCTTGCTGCTCCATAACGATCTCATTCAGCAAATAATTTTATTACTGAAGGCAAAGAAGCATAACAGGATCCAAAAAATAGCAAAAACTTACATAAAACCCTAACTTAGCATACCAAAACAGCACTCAACTAAGAATCACACTAGCACAGTAGAGAAATAGCAGACTAGGAAGTGGGACCAGGCGCCTTTCGGCCTCGTAATTTATATTCCATTAAATGTCAGAGTAACCTTGGGACTAGATAACAAGCCTGGCTCACTCCAGTTTATTTATTTTTTTAAAAATAAATTTTTATTGATTTTCCACACACAAGGTAAAAACAGACAATACACAATACACCAACATACAAACATATAAACATGTATAATTTCATAACCGTTTTTTCATAACCTTATTTCCCGGACTTCCCCATACCTTCCCCTTTCTGCATCCTTGTTTTATAGTTCTACAGCAACTCCTCCATCTAATTATTCAATTCAATTTCTTTTAAATTTCCCTAAATTTGTTATTTACAGCTGCAATTCTCTATTTCGGCTCACTCCAGTTTAAACCAGCTTCATCTGGTTCCCCAAAACAAGAAAGGTTCTTCATAACCTCATTGCAACTTATCCCACCACCAGCTCTCAGCAAAAAGAAACTGCCGAGTTTCAGGAAGCCTGCATTAGATCAATACTTTTCTATGCCTGAAAAATGCAACCATGACACTTTAAAGGTCAGCACTAACAATTTGAATTGTGCTTGAAAATGTGCTGGGAGCCATGTAAGGTCCTTTAGGAGCAGTGATATGTGGTCTCGGCGCTGCTCCCATTCAGTTGCAGTTTCTGGGTCACCTTCAAATGTAGCCCCATGTAGACCACATCGCAGTAGTCCAAGCGGGAGATAACCAGATCATGCACCACTCTGGCGAGACAATCTGCGGGGAAGGAGGGTCTCAGCCTGCGTTCCAGATGGAGCTGCTAGACAGCTGCCCTGGACACAGAATTGACCTGTGCCTCCATGGTCAGCTGTGAGTCCAAAATGATCCCTAGGCTGCACACCTGGTTATTTAGGGGCACAGTTACCCCATCAGGACCAGGGGGTCCCCACACCTGCCCACCCGCTGTTCGCCAGGGACAGTGCTTCTGTCTTGTCAGGATTCAAGCTCAATCTGTTAGCCACCATCCATATTCAAACAACCTCCAGGCACCAACACAGGGCATTCACCACCTTCACTGATTCCGATTTAAATGAGAAGAGCTGGGTATCATCCACATACTAGTGAAAACCCAGGCAAAAGCCCCAATGATCTCTCCCAGCAGCTTCATATAGATATTAAAAAGCATGGGGGAGAGGACGGAGCCCTGAGGCACCCCACAAGTGAGAGCCCAGGGGTCTGAACACTCATCCCCCAACACCACTTTCTGGACATGGCCCAGGAGGAAGGAGGGGAACCACTGCATAGCAGGGCCCCCAGCTCCCCTAGAGGGTCCAGAAGGATACCAAGGTCACAGGTCTCCAAAACTGCTGAGAGATCCAGCAGAACCACGAAACAGCAGAACCAGGGCAATTTCAGTTCCATGATGAGGCCTGAATCCCAATTGGAAGGTTAATGGTGGCAGAGGCTTTCCTGGTCCTGCACCCCCAAAAGCTCCAGGCCCAAGAATTTCATTAGCTTTGAAGGGGCCATCGGATACTTGGTGGCCTTTTATTCAAAAGACAAATATTCTGATTACTTTTTAATTGATGTATGATATGATATAAACAGCACTTCTGTTTTACATATTCCACATTGGAGAGACTTTGATACACAGGTCTGAGTTCATCGCTCCCCCTGAAACTGATGTGTTAGCAGCACTACGAGCCTGGGCAGTGTGTTTGGGGGTCCTGGGCTGCCTAGACAACAAGACCCCCTTCTCAGCCTGGCTTATATGGTCCCAAGGAAAGCAGAGCAGTACATTAGGCACCAGCTTGGCTGTAGGAGTGGCTGGAAGGTGGTGTGCAGGACACCATCTAACCGTCTTAGAGACTCCACTCTGGATTTGTGTGAGTTTTCCTCCATAGCCTTCTCCTGAATATAACTCAAGAGGAAGTGAAGGAGTGCACCAAAGTATTACGACCATAGTTTTCCTTCTCGAAGGGTTCCCTTCCCTGGTTTACGAGCCCCATCTGCCCTCACTTTCCTCTGCAGAATGGGCAGAATCTGCCTTCTTGGCTGTGGGATTCACTGTTGTTCTCATTCTCTCCATCCACCAGGGCCTGCCTTCACCTGCAACAGAATTCCCCAACCCACCAAGGATTTGAGACCCATCAGCTATCCTCACCTGCTTTAGCCGGCCGGTTGAAGCCGTTCCTGGGATTGTGGCCCCTATTCCATCCTGACAGCTTCTGGAAGCCACAGGTGAGAGCTGAGTGCAGGGTGGGGATCAATGGTGGGTAGATTACCCCAGAAGGTGGACAACATGTCCCCCACCAAAGGTACTAACACTCCCCTAACACCCCATGACATCGTATGATTATGATCTTTAAGTCAGAACAGGAATAAATTCATGTCCCCAGAAATAACACAACTTCAGGCCATTCGTGAATCAATACTACATTTTCAAGGTACTACACATTCCACTAAGTACAGTTTATCTATTTGCCTTGAATATCCTGCTTTTTGGTGTCGTTTTAGGATAGTCCTGCGTCAGAAGACGGGCACGAGATCAGACAGCACATCATTCTTTAAAAAATCCTGCTGCTTTATGAACATTGATTGAGGATTTGGAAAGGTGCTCTTGAATTACTATCATTTGACATGGCAACTTCATTTCCTAAAAATTGGGGAAATGGGTAGGGAATGTAGGAGACGTTGAAATAGGAGAGTGCTAATGGCATCTGATGTGCTCTCTTTCCCTTTGTTCTCTTCCTTGAAAGCCAAACAGGATTTCCTTTCCTCCCACTCTGAAGAAGGAGATGGAGAAGACAGTCAAAACTCCAGGGAATGAGGCACCTTTCGTTTCATTAGGAATAGAATTTAAAATGTGGAATATGCTTCATTGATAGTTCACATCAACGACCTCCAACAGGGGAGATACCATATAAAGGTATGGAGATCGAAAAGAGCTTTAGTGATAATGGTAAACTTAGAACACATCAACAAAATAACATGAGGAAGAAACCATATAAATGTATGGAGTGTGGAAAGAGCTTCAGTCAGAGTGGACACCTCAATATACATCAACGGATTCACACAGGGGAGAAACCATTTAAATGTATAGAGTGTGGAAAGAGCTTTAGTGAAAATGGAAAACTTAGAAGACATCAACGGACTCATACAGGGGAGAAACCATTTAAATGCCTGGTGTGTGAAAAGAGCTTCAGTTTCAATGCAGCCCTTAGAAGACATCAACGGACTCACACAGGGGAGAAACCATTTAAATGTATGGAGTGCGGAAAGAGCTTTAATGATAATAGAAATCTTAGAAAACATCAACAGACTCACACAGGGGAGAAACCATTTAAATGTATAGAGTGTGCAAAGAGGTTTAGTGATAATGGAAGCCTTAGAAAACATCAACGGACTCACACAGCGGAGAAACCATATAGATGTATAGAGTGTGGAAAGAGCTTTATTGATAATGGTAGCCTTAGAAAACATCAGCGGACTCACACAGGGGAGAAACCATATAAATGTATGGAGTGTGGAAAGTGTTTCAGTGATAATGGAAGCCTTAGAAAACATCAGCGGACTCACACAGGGGAGAAACCATATAAATGTATGGTGTGTGGAAAGAGCTTTAGTGTTAATGGAAGCCTTAGAACACATCAACCGACTCACACCGGGGAGAAACCATTTAAATGTATGGAGTGTGGAAAGTGTTTCAGTGATAATGGAAGCCTTAGAAAACATCAGCGGACTCACACAGGGGAGAAACCATATAAATGTATAGAGTGTGGAAAGAGCTTTAGTGATAATGGTAGCCTTAGAATACATCAACGGACTCACACAGGGGAGAAGCCATATAAATGTATGGAGTGTGGAAAGTGTTTCAGTGATAATGGAAGCCTTAGAAAACATCAACGGACTCACACAGGGGAGAAACCATTTCAATGTATGGAGTGTGGAAAGTGTTTCAGTGATGATGGAAGCCTTAGAAAACATCAACGGACTCACACAGGGGAGAAACCATTTAAATGTATGGAGTGCGGAATGTGCTTTAGTTTCAATGCAACACTTAGAATACATCAATGGACTCACACAGGGGAGAAACCATATAAATGTGTAGAGTGTGGAAAGACCTTCAGACAGAGTGGAGACCTTAGATATCATCAATGGACTCACACAGGGGAGACACCGTTTAAATGCCTGGAGTGTGGAAAGAGCTTCAGTTTCAATGCAGCCCTTAGAAGACATAAACGGACTCACACAGGGGAGAAACCATTTAAATGTTTGGAGTGTGGTAAGAACTTTAATGATAATGGAAATCTTAGAAATCACCAACGGACTCACACAGGGGAGAAACCATTTAAATGCCTGGAGTGTGGAAAGAGCTTCAGTTTCAATGCAGCCCTTAAAAGACATCAACGGACTCACACAGGGGAGAAACCATATAAATGTATCGAATGTGGAAAGAGTTTCAGTCGGAGTGGACACCTCAATATACATCAACGGACACACACATAAGAGAAACCATTTAAATGTATGGAGTGTGGAAAGAGCTTTAGTGATAATGGAAGCCTTAGAACACATCAACCAGCTCACACAGGGGTGAAACCATATAAATGTATGGAGTGTGTAAAGTGCTTCAGTGATAATGGAAGCCTTAGATCACATCAAACAGACTCACAAAGGGGAGAAACCATTTAAATGTATGGAGTGCGGAACGAGCTTCAGTCAGAGTGGAACCCTTGATTTTAATGAACAAACTCACACAAAACACAAACCTTATAAATATCAGGAAATTACCGTATTTTTCGCACCATAGGACACACTTTTTCCCTCCTAAAAAGCAAGGGAAAATGTGTGTGCGTCCTATGGAGCGAATGCAGGGGGAGGCAGGCGGGAAAAGCCCCCAAGAGCCGCACACAAGCTCCGTGCGCTCTTGCAGGCTTTTCCACAGGAGGGAGAAGGGACTGACTGGCCGCATCAGTCCCTTCTCCCACCTCCCAGGAAAGCCAGGAGAAGCCGCGATCTCTTTAAAGGAGTTGGCGGCTTCTGCGGGCTTTTTGCGAGAGGTGAGGGAATCCCCCCACCTCCCAGGTAAGCCAGAAGAAGCCGTGCAGCCCTTTTAAAGTGCGCGCAGCTTCTGCCGGTTTTGTAGGAGGTAGGGGGAATTCCCCCACCTCCCAGGAAAGCCAGAAGAAGCCGCAATCTCTTTAAAGGAGTTGCACGGCTTCTGCGGGCTTTTGCGAGAGGTGAGGGAATCCCCCACCTCCCAGGAAAGCCCTGCGCAGCGTCTCCCGGCAAGGAGAGGCTGCACAGGGCTAAAGGAGAAGCCAAAACAGCGAGCGGGATCCATCCCGTCCCCTGCCTTGGCTTGTTCCATAGCTGCGCGCAACCCCTCCGGCAAGGAGAGGCTGCACGGGGCTATGGATTCTTTAGCCCCACGCAGCCTCTCCCGAGAGGGGGAGGCTGCGTGGGGCTAAAGGGGAAGCCTAAACAGCGAGCGGGATCCATCCCGCCCCGTGCCTTGGCTTGCTCCATAGCTGCGCGCAACCCCTCTGGCAAGGAGAGGCTGCACGGGGCTATGGATTCTTTAGCCCCACGCAGCCTCTCCCGGGAGGGGGAGGCTGCGTGGGGCTAAAGGGGAAGCCTAAACAGTGAGCGGGATCCATCCCGCCCCCCGCCTTGGCTTGCTCCATAGCTGTTTGCAACCCCTCCAGCACGGGGCTAAAGGAGAAGCCTAAACAGCGAGCGGGATCCATCCCGCCCCCTGCCTTGGCTTGCTCCATAGCTGCGCGCAACCCCTCTGGCAAGGAGAGGCTGCACGGGGCTATGGATTCTTTAGCCCCACGCAGCCTCTCCCGAGAGGGGGAGGCTGCGTGGGGCTAAAGGGGAAGCCTAAACAGCGAGCGGGATCCATCCCGCTCCGTGCCTTGGCTTGCTCCATAGCTGCGCACAACCCCTCTGGCAAGGAGAGGCTGCACGGGGCTATGGATTCTTTAGCCCCATGCAGCCTCTCCCGGGAGGGGGAGGCTGCGTGGGGCTAAAGGGGAAGCCTAAACAGCGAGCGGGATCCATCCCGCCCCCTGCCTTGGCTTGCTCCATAGCTGCGCGCAACCCCTCTGGCAAGGAGAGGCTGCACGGGGCTATGGATTCTTTAGCCCCACGCAGCCTCTCCCGAGAGGGGGAGGCTGCGTGGGGCTAAAGGGGAAGCCTAAACAGCGAGCGGGATCCATCCCGCCCCGTGCCTTGGCTTGCTCCATAGCTGCGCACAACCCCTCTGGCAAGGAGAGGCTGCACGGGGCTATGGATTCTTTAGCCCCGTGCAGCCTCTCCCGGGAGGGGGAGGCTGCGTGGGGCTAAAGGGGAAGCCTAAACAGCGAGCGGGATCCATCCCGCCCCCTGCCTTGGCTTGCTCCATAGCTGCGCGCAACCCCTCTGGCAAGGAGAGGCTGCACGGGGCTATGGATTCTTTAGCCCTGCGCAGCGTCTCCCAAGAGGGGGAGGCTGCGTGGGGCTAAAGGGGAAGCCTAAACAGTGAGCGGGATCCATCCCGCCCTCGCCTTGGCTTGCTCCATAGCTGTGCGCAACCCCTCCGGCAAGGAGAGGCTGCACGGGGCTATGGATTCTTTAGCCCCACGCAGCCTCTCCCGGGAGGTGGAGGCTGCGTGGGGCTAAAGGGGAAGCCTAAACAGCGAGCGGGATCCATCCTGCCCTTGCCTTGGCTTGCTCCATAGCTGCGCGCAACCCCTCTGGCAAGGAGAGGCTGCACGGGGCTATGGATTCTTTAGCCCCACGCAGCCTCTCCCGGGAGGTGGAGGCTGCGTGGGGCTAAAGGGGAAGCCTAAACAGCGAGCGGGATCCATCCCGCCCCGTGCCTTGGCTTGCTCCATAGCTGCGCACAACCCCTCCGGCAAGGAGAGGCTGCACGGGGCTATGGATTCTTTAGCCCCACGCAGCCTCTCCCGGGAGGGGGAGGCTGCGTGGGGCTAAAGGGGAAGCCTAAACAGTGAGCGGGATCCATCCCGCCCCCTGCCTTGGCTTGCTCCATAGCTGCGCGCAACCCCTCCAGCAGGGAGAGGTTGTGCGCAGCCTGTACGCTGCTCTTTGGGGCTGGGGGGGGAAAAAGATTTTTTTCTTGATTTCCCCCCTAAAAACTGGGTGCGCCCTATGGTCCAGTGCGCCCTATGGTGCGAAAAATACGGTAGATAGAGGTTCAGTCCTGGTGGAAATTCTAAATCAAGAGATTTGTGTACAGGAAGATCTTTAGGAGTTGAAGCTCTTCAAACCATCAACAAACTCAAAGAGGAGAAGCAGTTTAAATGAAAAGATTGCAAAAAGTGCTTTATTTACAATGGAGTGTTTAAGGAAAATCCAGAGACTCTCACATGTAAGAACCCATTTAGATGTATGGAGTGTTGAGTGTCTTCCTCTCAGATTCCACTCCACAGAAATGAACTCAGGAGGAAATCAGTCTTTAACACATGTTGTGTATGTGAAGTTATTGTATTTATGTGGAAAACTCTATAGTAATGAAATATTGAAGGCAATGTCAAACAATGTGATTATAATCTAAGGTGTAAAGTACCTTTCGATAGAGAAGGGGTGAGGGTTTATCTGGATTGCTGGTGGTCAGTGAGGATTAGGGCTGGGCGATATATTGTCCAAACTGGTTTCTAGACCACATTGTGATAACCTTTCAAAAACAATTGATATGATACTTATTGCAGAGTATTAGAAGACTCAAGATCTACCCACACTGGAAGAATGGCAGATGAAGGTGATGGACTATATGGAACTGGCGGAGATGACTGGCAGAATCCGAGACCAGGGAGAAGAGTTGGTGGAAGAAGATTGGAAGAAATTTAAAGACTATTTACAGAAATACTGCAAAATTAATGAATGTTAGAATGATGTTGGAATGAAATTAAGTGGTTTTAGCAGCAATGTTATTAAGGGTTAACAAAAATGGATTGTTAATAGATGGGAATTTGAAGTAAAAATATATTAAGAAAAAGGATCAAGATAAGAACAAAGAGGGAAAGGATTTGCTGAATTAATTAACTGATTTGGGATGCAAAAAAGGGATGTGTGAGGAGGTCCGGGAAACAAGTGAATGAAAGATAAGTTATGTAAATACTGATTTGTTTTTATTTTTGTGGTTTTTTTGTACTTTTGTTTGAAACTTTAATAAATATTATTATTATAAAAAAAAAACAATTGATCACAGTGTGTGTTTTGGGATGCCCATTTGCCTGGAAGCTGCCAGCAGAAAGGTTTGCTTCATGAAGCCCCTAAATATGCTGAGTTGCTGACTTCCCTCCCAGACGACAGGAAGCGAAAGACACACCTCCATTGCTCTGCGTCGTTCCAGCCTCTTTCCTCCTTTGCTCCCTTCTGCCGGTTTGTGTGCCTGACTTACTGTATTTTTTGCTCCATAACACTCACTTTTTTCCTCCTAGAAAGTAAGGGGAAATGTCTGTGCGTGTTATGGAGCGAATGCCTACGGATGGCGGGGGGATCTGCTGCAGTCGTGAGCAGAGGATCCATGGTTCCCCTTACTTCCTCCGTGGCACGCTTTGAAACAGCAAAGCGGGAGAAGAGCCGCTGAGTGGGGAGGAGAGAGAGCCTGCTTGCCTTAAAGGAGCAAAGCGGGAGAGGAGAGGAGCCACTTACACAAGTGTAAGCAGCTCCTGTCCGGTTGGCTCCTTTAAAGCAAGCAGGCTCTCTGTCCCTCTCCTCCCCACTCAGCTGGCTAAATAGCAGCAAAGTTTTTCAGCTCGCTAAGCTGGGGAGGTGGGAGAGAAGCAGAGCCTGCTTGCTTTAAAGGAGCAAAGCGGGAGAGGAGAGGAGCCTTCTCCTCTTATACCCCTCGCCTGCATTATTAGCAGCATCCTTCTCCACCCACCCCACACGTGTTCCTTCTCCCCTTAAACACCTCTTCTGCATTATTAGCAGCATCCTTCTCCACACACCCCACGCATGCTCCTTGTCCCTTGAGTGCTTTTCCTTCCCTCCCCACTTAAAACGTGGTTACAAAGCATGGATCCACATGGATCCTCAGGATTTTTGCATTGGGCTACCCCAAACTCACCGTCAGATCACATGTCTGTGGCCACAGCATGAACCACAAAAATCATACATCCACTGTTTCGTTTAGATTTTTTTTTCTTGTTTTCCTCCTCTAAAAACTATGCGTGTTGTGGTCGGGTGCGTGTTATAGAGCGAAAAATACGGTAGATATCCTGTGTGCTGTATTTTTCTACTGCTGAAACTGGATCTGCTCTCAGGAGCTAAGTTTTGTGCCTCACTGGGGACCCAGTGAGAACTGTATGCTTTGAAAACTAAGTAAACTATTACTGAGGAAGTCCTGCTGCCTCTGTGTGTTTTTGACCTCAGCGTGGGACTTGCTCTTCACGTGGCCCCTACCCTGCTGCTACTTGGCTTATGCCCTGGAGTTGCTGTACTCGAGCATGCAAGACGGGTGCGTATGTGTGTGACAGGTTTTTGCACCAAACTCTCTCACCCCCGCCACCACATGATCTCCAAACACTGCTTCTTCACTAGAACTTCTCCCTGCCTCTTACGCGTTCTGAAGAAAACTTAAAATACTGTAATTTAATGGGAGATTTCCCCCAAGCCTTATTGCAAGAGGGGGAAGGAGGGGCTGCAGGTACCAGGGAAGTCTCCTGGGGGGCCCATCTTCACTGATGAACCCCATGGGGCAATCCCAGAGTTCCTGCTCATTCTGGGGTTTGGGGAAAATAGTACTTTTCCATAGTCCCAGAAGTTATTATTCTTCCTGCCAGAGGACCAGTGTGCATATTATTATTGTACTGATTTTACTGTTGTTGCTGCTGTTGCTGTCATGGACTGGCTGGGTGATGAAAGGGGGGGAGGCACCAGCTGGGGGACCCCCAAGGGAAGAAGTCTCAGAGCCCGGGTCTTGTAGGCCCCCTAAGGCTATCAAAATTCCTAGGTCTGGCCACTTAAAGGCAGATATGGGAGCTGTTGGGGGCCAGGTCGATTCTTTCATTTTCTCCTCTCCTCTGGAAAAGTGCTCTTTCTTTTGGGGTTTGATTACTTCTGCCTCCTTCAGTGCCCACTGCATCCTCAGCGAGGTACAATACTTTCCTTTGAACTTATGTAGGGTTCTCTCTCAGGACTGCTACCCAGGAGTCTGCCTATGCAAACTGCTCCAAACATCCAGGGTGTTTTGTCATGCTTCTAAAGACCTGGTTGGTTAGGTCCAGGTCCTACGAGCCCGGGGGGGGGGGCTGTTCGCAGGGAGTTCTCACTTGTTTGGGGTTCATCGCTCCACCGTATTTGCATTTGAGTTTGCCAAAATTATTCACCATGCCTTGTAACGGAGTCCATTCCTCCTGTGAGTGTGACCCGCCCCCCCCCATTATGCCCTCCTGCTTAAGTTGTACACAAGGGGGACTCCCTGCCCTTCCGACATGTTGCAGATCAAATAAAAGGTGGGGGAAAGCCTTTTGAAAAGAGACTGGTGGCCAGCAAGGCCCACAGTGAGAAAGCCTATAGAAAGAAAAGACTCATAAATAAATGCCCCCCCCGGCTGCACAGAACGCCAGTCCTGGGTAGAGAACTCGCAGTTGTGCCAAGGGGGGAGGGAGCCCGATCTCTGCAGCCCCAGCCCTCAGCCGGACAGGAGCCTTCAAGCAAAACACAAAGGGAGAAAACTCCTCTTTCCTCACAGCCTCAGCCCCTCTTGGCCGAGATAGAGACAATAAAATACATAGACATACACAGAGCTGGGAGCCTGTTGTTGCGGGGGGGGGGAGTCCTCTCTCTCTCTCTCTCTCTCTCTCTCACACACACACACACACACACACACACACACAGCTGGCCCCCAGTCTCAGCTCCCCTGGCTGAGCTGGAAACACAAGTCTCAATGCAAAGCACACAAAAATAAAGCCACTCCCCCAAATGTGCAATTTAACTGCTAGCAAAACACACAGAGCAGCCTCCCCCTTTTGCCTGAGACACACACAGAGCTGACAGGCCACGGCTCCCCTCAATTTCAAGGGAATTGCCCCCCTCCCCGCACATCCTTCCCAGACCGCAAACCCCAAATCCCCTCCCCAATATGTTGCTCCTTCTCCTCGCCATCCGCCTTCTGTTCCGGGAATAAGGGGGTGGGGTGAGCCCCCTCCCAAATTGCCTGCTTCTCCCGCAAGTGGCTCTTCTGCGCCGGATTGCTGCTCTGCCCCGCAGCTCTAGGGGCGCGCGCTTTCGGAAAGGGGAGGAGGGGCGGCTGGTAAATCCCCCCCACCCACGTGGATGTTGCAGGAAAGGAAAGGAGAATCGGGAGCGAGGACAAAGAGGTAAAGGGGTCTCGGGGGGAGGCGAGAGAAGGATCCAGAGACCCCCTTGAGCTCCCCAAAGCGCCTTTTGTGGATCTGAATCCCTGCACGCGTGCTGCGAAGGGGTTTTTCCTTGGACTCTTAAGAAGCCCACCCAGGGGATCCCAACGAAGCCCCCTCGCCCCATTTCCCCGCGCAGGCATCCCTGGGGCGCTGTGGGCTCCGCACGGATAAAGGCGGGCCATGAAAGGGTTAACGGTAGTGAGGGACGCCTGGATAGAGACCCCCCTGTCCTCCCCTGCTCCTCTTGGGGGGGGCCCTCCGGATGGAGAGATGGGGGCGCAGGGCGAGGGGTGAGCCGCGCCAAGGGGGGCCTCTGGGTTCAGGGGAGACTCTGGGACAGAGGGAGGGAGTCGAGGAAGGGGGGAGGGGAGCATCCCTGGGGCAGGGAAGGGCAGCAATGGGGGGGAGGAGAGAGAGATAGGTAGACCAGTCTTTGGGGAAACGTCTCCATCGTGGCGCCCACGGGAAGAGACCGCCTGGAGAAGACCGCCTTGGCTTCTCCCTCCCACCTAGAAATCGGCCAACCCTTCAAGGCAACCAGAGGGATCACTGGAAAGTGGGGGGGGGGTCGTGTCCCCCCACCCCTTCCTTCCTGCAAGCTCCATCCTCTTCCCACCCCATAAGCCCCTGCCCTGTCCCGACTGCGGTTCTGCCCAGTCCAACCATTGGTCCCCCTGGAGAGGAGAGGAAATCCCGAGAGGAAGGGGGGGGGCTTCTCAGAAGCGTCTCTTTGTTTCCGCAATCCCACCCAGGAAGCAGCCAGAAACCTTTTCCTGTCTCTCAGGCTTCCATCTTTAAGTGTCTTTCCCACTGCCTGGTTCATTGAGGGTGAGGATAATGTACACCTCTCATCAGAAACAGGTGCAGAGTCCATGGAATGGCTCTCAGGCTTGATATAGAAGTCAAAAGCATTTCTGTTCCTCTTATTCTTTCTAGGCAGTGTCAGAGTGACTGACAAGCTGGGATACAATCCATCAGCATCCGATGTGTTACGGAAGGGGGGGGCGATAGCAATTGCCTGAATCTTCCCAGTCAAAGGACCCATTTTCATGATACGTGTGACTGGAAGCTCTACACACCGGGTGTGCCTGTGCAGGCCAAAGACTGCCAGTATTGGCACAGGTGAGGTGTGTGACCTCCCCAAATTTACAGACTGTATGTGAATGAGAGTTTGTGGGGGGGATTATCGTTTACGGCAACCCTGTGATTTTCTCCACCCATAACATTTTGTGAGCTGATATTGCAGTACGAATTCCAAAATAACTTTAAAAAATCACAAGATGATGATGATGATAATTATTTATTTATACCTCACCCTCCCCTGCCAAGGCCGTGCTCAGGGGGATGATAAGAATGATTGCAGTATGTATCCCGTTCCCATCTGGTTGGGTTTCCCCAGCCACTCTGGGCAGCTTAAAGTACATAAAAAAGACAGTAATACATCAAACATTAAAAACATCCCAATGCAGCTGTCTTCTAAATGTCAGAGAGTTGCCCATTTCCTTGCCCTCTGAGGGGAGGGCATTCCATGGGGCAGGAGGCCCTCTGCCTGGTTCCCAGGAACTTCACTTCTGCCAGCAAGGAAACCAGCAGAAGACCCCCGGAGGCAGACCTCCCTGTCCGGACTGAGCGATGTTGGTGGAGACGCTCCTTCAGGTCTACAGCGCCAAGGCTGTTTATGGCTTAAGGTTGCAGATCTTGCTTCTCCATAACCATCACCAGAGCAAGTTCCACGTATAATTAGCAGAGTAGCAAAAAATGCTCAAAGGCAGCAAAAAAATTAATTCAACTGAGAAATCTATTACAGTGGTACCTCTGGTTTGCGAACGGGATCCGTTCCAGAGGCCCATTCGCAACATGCACAGAACACAAACCACGTCTGCACATGTGCAGGTCACGATTCACTGCTGTGAATGCATGTGACATCATTTTGCACGTCTGCGCATGCGCGAGTGGCAAAACCCGGGACACAAGACGGAAACGCACAACCTGAGGCAAATATAACATGAGGTATGACTGTACTGAAGACAAATAAGCATAACAGGGTCCAAAAAATAGCAAAAATGTAACTCACAGTAAAGCCCTGACTTAGCATGCCAAAACAGCACTCAAGTAAGAAACAGACAAGCAGAGTAGAGTAATATCAGAATATGAAGTGGGACCAGGCGCATTTCAATACTGTAATTTATATATAGTTCAATGTCAGAGTAGCCCTGGGACTAGATAACAAGCCTCCAGGTGGACGTGCCCCACCTGCCCTTCACGTTCCTCTTCCGCACGGCCAGAATCTGCCTTCTGGACTGTGGGATTCACGGTTGTTCTCCTCCTCTCCATCCACCAGGGCTTGACTTCAGGTGCAGCAGAATTCCCCAGCCCCCCAAGGATTTGAGACCCACCAGTTTTCCTCACCTGGTTTAGCCGGCCGGTTGAAGCCGTTGCTTGAACCCCTGTTGCATGCTGACAGCTTCTGGAAGCCACAGGTGAGAGCTGAGTGCAGGGTGGGGACCAAGGGTGGAAAAATGACCCCAGAAGGTGCAGGACATGTCCCCCACCAAAGGAACTACTGTTCCCCATACCCCATGACATCTAGATTCAGGTAGGTAGTCGTGTTGCACACTTCTTCAGATACACTGACACAGATGTCACCAGACCCTTGTATATCGTGGGAGGGTGGGGTGGGGTTTTTCTCAGAAGGGTACTCCTACTACCATCTCCCACTACCCATCACTATATGAAGAAGTGTGCATGCACAAGAAAGCTTATTTCTAGAACAAACTTAGTTGGTCTCTAATGGGCTACTGGACTATTTTTTTACTTTTTTACTTCTTCTGTGTCAGACCAATATGTCTACCTACCATTAAGTACAGTTATCTCCTTGCCTTGAATATCCAGCTTTTCAGTGCCAGATTAGGATAGTCCTCTATCAGAAGACAAGCAAAGGTTCAGGCAGCACATCATCATTATAAAGAACCATTGGAGTGGGTGTTTCCGTCTGGGATTCCCATGTGCCAGCTGCTTTCCTTCTGCTTTTCCTGCTCTCTCCATGCAATGTGAGGCATCTAGACAGAGGTCCATCTCCAAGAACAGGAGCTTCCCTGAGCACCCATTCAGCTGACCCCAAGCACCTAGCCTTGTCACTAGTTCTCTGATGTGATGAAAGCTTCTTTCCACGACTCCGGTGCCTTCTTTCCCTCCATTATCTCGTTGCACACCTCCTTTAATGGTTGAATTAAATAGTCTTTCAAAGTCTTATAATACTTGGAGGTTAACCCGTCCGGCCCTGGAGACTTGCCCAATTGCATGTTCTGAATAGCACCTTCAATATCCTGTTCCATTATCTTATGATTCAATATCGTCTTGTTTTCTTGAGATAGTTTTTGTAATCCATTAGTTCTTAAAGATTAATCTATATCAGTCTCTTTCTGCAGCCCCTGAGTATAAAGTTGTTTGAAATATCTCTGGAAGCATTTTCTAATCTCCACAGGATTCTGGATGTTTCTTCCCTCAATCTCAAGGTTGGTAACCGTGTTCAACTTCTGTCTTTTTTTCAACTGCCATGCTAGCAGTTTTCCACATTTATTAGCCGATTCAATAGTCTTTTGTCTCATTTGTTTGATCTTCCATTCAACTTCCTGATTTATCAATTTCATATATTGTACCTGATATAACTTAATTTCTCTCAGAATCTCCTGTGACTTTGGTTTCGATCTTAATTTTTTCTCTCCTTCTTTTATTTTTTCCAAAATTCTGTCTTTTTTCTCATTTTGAGTTCTTTTTTTTATTGCATTCTGTTGTATCAGAAACCCCCTCATGACCGCTTTACTTGCGTCCCAGATTATTCTTTTTTCCACTGTGGTTTTCAAATTTACTTCAAAGTAATCCTGCAGGTTTTTTTGGGCCTTCTTGACAATATCTTGATCTCTTAATAAGGTGTCATTCATCTTCCATCTGAAGGAACCAGTTGAAGTTAGTCTCATTTCCATCTTTACTGCATTATGGTCGGAGCAAGTTTTTGGGCAGATTTCCACTTTTCTAATCTTAGGTGCCAGTCCTCTAGTTATCCATATTTGGTCAATTCTTGTCCACATCTTTTTGGCTTCAGAGAAGAATGTCCCTTCTCTCCCTAGGGGGTTTTTGGTTCTCCAAATGTCAATCAGATTTGTGACAGAAGGTATAATTTAAAGGTCAGCACCAACAATGTAAATTGTGCTCAGAAATGTACTGGGAGTCAGTGAAGATCCTTTCAGACTGGTGTTATGTTGTCTCAGCTGCTGCTCCCATTCTGTTGTCTAGCTGCCACATTCTGGATTAGTTGCAGTTTACGAGTCACCTTCAAAGATAGTCCCATGTATCACATGGCAGTCGTCCAAGCGGGAGATCACCAGAGCATGCACCACTCTGGGGAGACAGTCTCCAGGCATGGAGGGTCTCAGCCAGCGTACCAGATGGAGCTGGCAGACAACTGCCCTGGACACAAAATTGACCTGTGCCTCCATGGACAGCTGTGAGTCCTAAATGACCCCCAGGTTGTGCACCTGGTCCTTTTGGGGCACAGTTACCTCCATCAGGTCTAGGGAGTCTTCCACATCTGCCTGCCCCCCTTTCCCCTGGGACAGTATTTCTGTCTTGTCAAGATTCAACCTCAATCTGTTAGCCGCCATCCATCCTCCAACTGCCTCCAGACACTCACACAGGACCTTCACTGGTTCCAATTTAAAAGAGAGGAAGAGCTGGGTATCATCCACATACTGGGGAACACGCAGCCCAAACCCGCTGATGATCTCTCCCAGCAACTTCGTATAGATATTAAAAAGCATGGGGGAGAGGATGCAGCCCTGAGGCACCCCACAAGTGAGAGCCCAGAGGTCTGAACACTCATCCCCCAACACCACTTTCTGGACATGGCCCAGGAGGAAGGAGGGGAACCACTGTACAGCAGTGCCCCCAGCTCCCCTAGAGGGTCCAGAAGGATACCATGGTCAAAGGTCTCCAAAGCTGCTGAGAGATCCAGCAGAACCAGGAAAGAGCTTTCCCCTTGGTCTCTAGCCCATTGGAAAATATCAAGCAGTGCAACCAGGGTTGTTTCAGTCCCACGATGAGGCCTGAATCGCAATCAGAAGGATAATGGTGGCAGAAGCTTTGCTGGTCCTGCCCCTCCAAAAGCTCCAGGCCCAAGACTTTCATTAGCTTTCAAGGGGCCATCGGAGTTGCTGGAAGGAGTTGTCCAGGACACCATCCAACCATCTTAGAGAATCCATTCTGGATTTGTCTAGGTTTTCCCCCATAGACTTCTCTTCTCCTGAAGATAACTCACAAGGCAGCTTCCGGAAGCCAAAGGTGATAGCTGAGTGCAGGGTGGGGACCAATGGTGGATAAATTACCCCATAAGGTGCATGACATTTCCCCCACCAAAGGTACTACCACTCCCCTAACACCCAATGACATTGTATGATTATGATCTTTAAGACAGAACAGGAATAAATTCATGTCCCCAGAAATAACACAACTTCAGGCCACTAGAGAATGAATACTACATTTTCAAGGTACTACACATTGCACTAACTACAGTTTATCTATTTGCCTTGAATATCCTGCTTTTCAGTGTCATTTTAGGATAGTCCTGCATCAGAAGATGGGCACGAGATCAGACAGCACATCATTCTTTAAAGAATCATGCTGCTTTATGGAACATTGATTGAGGATTTGGAAAGTTGCTCTTGAATTACTATCATTTGACATGGCAACTTCATTTCCTAAAAATTGGGAACATGGGTAGGAGTTGAGGGAGTGTAGGAGACGTTGAAATAGGAGAAGGTGCTAATGGAGCTTGATGTGTTCTCTTTCCCTTCGTTCTCTTCCTTGAAACCCAACAGGATTTCCTTTCCTCCCACTCTGAAGAAGGAGATGGAGAAGACAGTCAGAACTCCAGGGAATGGTGCACCTTTCGTTTCATTAGGAATAGAAATTAAAATGTTGAATATTCTTCATTGAATGAGCACACATACTTCACATCAACTACCTCCAACAGGGGAGATACCATTTAAAGGTATGGAGTGCGGAAAGAGCTTTAGCAATAATGGAAAACTTAGAAGACATCAACAGAATAGGACGGGGGAGAAACCATATAAATGTATGGAGTGTGGAAAGAGCTTCAGTCAGAGTGGACACCTCAATATACATCAACGGATTCACACAGAGGAGAAACCGTATAAATGTATGGAGTGTGGCAAAAGCTTTAGTGAAAATGCAAAACTTAGAAGACATCAACGGACTCACACAGGGGAGAAACCATTTACATGTATGGAGTGTGGAAAGTGCTTCAGTCAGAGTGGACACCTCAATATACATCAACAGACTCACACAGGGGAGAAACCATTTAAATGTATGGAGTGTGGAAAGAGCTTCTGTTTAAATGCAAACCTTAGAACACATCAACGGATTCACACAGGGGAGAAACCATATAAATGTATGGAGTGTGGAAAGAGCTTTAGTGATAATGGACAACTTAGAAAACATCAACGGACTCACACAGGGGAGAAACCATTTAAATGTATGGAATGTGGAAAGAGTTTCAGTCGGAGTGGACACCTCAATATACATCAACAGACACACACAGGAGAGAAACCATTTAAATGTATGCAGTGTGGAAAGAGCTTTAGTGATAATGGAAAACTTAGAACACATCAATGGACTCACACCGGGGAGAAACCATTTAAATGTATGAAGTGTGGAAAGTGCTTCAGTGAGAATGGAAGCCTTAGAACACATCAACTGACTCACACCGGGGAGAAACCATTTAAATGTATGGAGTGTGGAAAGTGCTTCAGTGAGAATGGAAGCCTTAGAAGACATCAACGGACTCACACCGGGGAGAAACCATTTAAATGTATGGAATGTGGAAAGAGTTTCAGTCGGAGTGGACACCTTATAAAACATCAGCAGACACACAGGGGAGAAACCGTTTAAATGTATGGAGTGCGGAAAGAGCTTCAGGCAGAATGGACACCTTATAAAACATCAGCAGACACACAGTGGAGAAACTGTTTAAATGTATGGACTGTGGAAGGAGCTTCAGTCAGAGTGGAACCCTTGATTTATGTCAACAAACTCACACAAAAGCCAAACCTTATAAATATAAATATCAGGAAAGTAGATAGAGGTTCAGTCCTAGTGAAAATTCTACATCAACAGACTCACGGACAGGAAGAACTTTAGGAATTGAAACCCTTCAAACCATCCACAAACTCAGAGAGGAGAAGCAGTTTAAATGAAAAGATTGCAAAAGTGTTGGTGTCTGGAGTGTGGGACATCTTCCGCTCAGAGTCCACTCTTTTCTTCACAGAAATGAACTCGGCAGGAAATCAGTCATTAACACATGTTGTGTATGTGAAGTTCTGGTATTTATGTGTAAAACTGTATAGTAATGAAATATTGAAGGCAATGTCAAACAATGTGATTATAATCTAAGATGTAATATATCTTTCAATAGAGAAGGGGAGAGGGTGTATCTGGATTACTTGGTGGTCAGTGAGGGCTTGGTGATATATTGTCCAATACTGGTTTCTTGACCACATCATGATAACCTTTCAAAAACAATTGATATGGCAAGACCCCACAGATCACAGTGTGTGTTTCTGGGATGCTCATTTGTCTGGAAGCAGCCAGCAGAAAGCTTTGCTTTGTGAAGCCCCTGAATATGCTGAGTTGCTGACTTCCCTCCCAGGCGACAGGAAGCAAAAGACACCCCTCCATTGCCCTGTGTCCTTCCAGCCTCTTTCCTCCCTTGCTCCCTTCTGCCGGTTTGTGTGCCTGACTTAGATATCCTGTGTGCTGTATGATTTTACTGCTGAAACTGGATTTGCTCTCAGGAGCTAAATTTTGTGCCTCACTGGGGACCCAGTGAGAACTGTATGCTTTCAAAGCTCAGTAAACTATTACTGAAGAAGTCCTGCTGCCTCTCTGTGTGTTTTTGACCTCAGCATGGGAATTGCTCTATACATGGCCCCTACCCCACTGATACTTCGCTCATGCCCTGGAGTTGCTGTATTCAAGCATGCAAGACGGGTGCATCTGTGTGTGACTGGTTTTTGCACCAAACTCTCTCACCCCCACCACCGCATGATCTCCGAATACTGCTTCTTCACTAGAACTTCTCCCTGCCTCTTACGCGTTCTGTAGAAAACTTGAAATACTGTAATTTAATGGGAGATTTCCCCCAAGCCTTATTGTAAGAGGGGGAAGGAGGGGCTGCAGGTACCAGGGAAGTCTCCTGGGGGCCCCATCTTCCCTCACGAACCCCATGGGGCAATCCCAGAGCTCCTGCTTATTCTGGGGTTTGGGGAAGATAGTATTTTTCCATAGTCCCAGAAGTTCTTATTCTTCCTGCCAGAGGACCAGTGTGCATATTATTATTGTACTGATTTTACTGTTGTTGCTGCTGTTGCTGTCATGGACTGGCTGGGTGAAAGGGGGGGGAGGCACCAGCTGGGGGACACCCAAGGGAAGAAGGCTCGGAGGCCGGGTGTTTTATGCCCCCTAAGGCTATCAAAATTCCTAGATCTGGCCAATTAAAGGCAGATATGGGAGCTGTTGGGGGCCAGGTCGATTCTTTCATTTTCTCCTCTCCTCTGGAAAAGTGCTCTTTCTTTTGGGGTTTGATTACTTCTGCCTCCTTCAGTGCCCACTGCATCCTCAGCGAGGTACAATACTGTCCTTTGAACTTATGTAGGGTTCTCTCTCAGGACTGCTACCCAGGAGTCTGCGTATGCAAACTGCTCCAAACATCCAGGGTGTTTTGTCATGCTTCTAAAGACCTGGTTGGTTAGGTCCAGGTCCTACGAGCCCGGGGGGGGGGCTGTCCGCAGGGAGTTCTCACTTGTTTGGGGTTCATCGCTCCACCGTATTTGCATTTGAGTTTGCCAAAATTATTCACCATTCCTTGTAACGGAGTCCATTCCTCCTGTGAGTGTGACCCGCCCCCCCCCCATTATGCCCTCCTGCTTAAGTTGTACACAAGGGGGACTCCCTGCCCTTCCGACATGTTGCAGATCAAATAAAAGGTGGGGGGAAGCCTTTTGAAAAGAGACTGGTGGCCAGCAAGGCCCACAGTGAGAAAGCCTATAGAAAGAAAAGACTCATAAATAAATGCCCCCCCCGGCTGCACAGAACGCCAGTCCTGGGTAGAGAACTCGCAGTTGTGCCAAGGGGGGGAGGGAGCCCGATCTCTGCAGCCCCAGCCCTCAGCCGGACAGGAGCCTTCAAGCAAAACACAAAGGGAGAAAACTCCTCTTTCCTCACAGCCTCAGCCCCTCTTGGCCGAGATAGAGACAATAAAATACATAGACATACACAGAGCTGGGAGCCTGTTGTTGCGGGGGGGGGGGAGTCCTCTCTCTCTCTCTCTCTCTCTCTCTCTCTCACACACACACACACACACACACACAGCTGCCCCCTCCCAGTCTCAGCTCCCCTGGCTGAGCTGGAAACACAAGTCTCAATGCAAAGCACACAAAAATAAAGCCCCCCCCCAAATGTGCAAAGCCCAAATCCCCTCCCCAATATGTTGCTCCTCTTCCTCGCCATCCGGCTCCAGCTTCGGGAAAGTGGTGGTGGGGGGTGAGCCCCCTCCGAAATTGCCTGCTTCTACCGCAAGTGGCTCTTCTGCGTCGGATTGCTGCTCTGCCCCGCATCTCTAGGGGCGCGCGCTTTCGGAAAGGGGAGGAGGGGCGGTAGGTAAATCTCCCCCACCCACGTGGATGTTGCCGGAAAGGAAAGGAGAATCGGGAGCGAGGACAAAGAGGTAAAGGGGTCGCGGGGGGAGGCAAGAGAAGGATCCAGAGACCCCCGCCAGCTCCCCAAAGCCCCTGTCGTGCATCTGGATCCCTGCACGCGTGCTGCGAAGGGGGTTTTCCTTGGACTCTTAAGAAGCCCACCCAGGGGATCCCAACGAAGCCCCCTCGCCCCATTTCCCCACGCAAGCATCCCTGGGGCGCTGTGGGTTCCGCGCGGAAAGAGGTGGGCCATGAAAGGGTTAACGGGCGTGAGGGACGCCTGGATAGTGACCCCCCCTGTCCTCCCCTGCTCGTTTTGGGGGGGGGCTCCGTACGGAGAGATGGGGGGCGCAGGGCGACGGGTGAGCCACGCCAAGGGGGGCCTCTGGGTTCAGGGGAGACTCTGGGACAGAGGGATGGAGTCGAGGAAGGGGGGAGGGGGAGCATCCCTGGGGCAGGGAAGGGCAGCAATGGGGGGGAGGAGAGAGAGATAGGTAGACCAGTCTTTGGGGAAACGTCTCCATCGTGGCGCCCACGGGAAGAGACCGCCTGGAGAAGACCGCCTTGGCTTCTCCCTCCCACCTAGAAATCGGCCACCCCTTCAGGGGGGGCTTCTCAGAAGCGTCTCTTTGTTTCCGCAATCCCACCCAGGAAGCAGCCAGAAACCTTTTCCTCTCTCTCAGGCTTCCATCTTTAAGTGTCTTTCCCACTGCCTGGTTCATTGAGGGTGAGGATAATGTACACCTGTCATCAGAAACAGGGGTGCAGAGTCCATGGAATGTCTCTCAGGATTGATATAGAAGTCAAAAGCATTTCTGTTCCTCTTATTCTTTGTAGGCAATGTCAGAGTGACTGACAAGCTGGGATACAATCCATCAGCATCCGATGATAGCAATTGCCTGAATCTTCCCAGTCAAAGGACCCATTTTCATGATACGTGTGACTGGAAGCTCTACACACCGGGTGTGCCTGTGCAGGCCAAAGACTGCCAGTATTGGCACAGGTGAGGTGTGTGACCTCCCCAAATTTACAGACTGTATGTGAATGAGAGTTTGTGGGGGGGGGATTATCGTTTACGGCAACCCTTTCTCCACCCATAACATTTTGTGAGCTGATATTGCAGTACGAATTCCAAAATAACTTTAAAAAATCACAAGATGATGATGATGATAATTATTTATTTATACCTCACCCTCCCCTGCCAAGGCCATGCTCAGGGGGATGATAAGAATGATTGCAGTATGTATCCCGTTCCCATCTGGTTGGGTTTCCCCAGCCACTCTGGGCAGCTTAAAGTACATAAAAAAGACAGTAATACATCAAACATTAAAAACATCCCAATGCAGCTGTCTTCTAAATGTCAGAGAGTTGCCCATTTCCTTGCCCTCTGAGGGGAGGGCATTCCATGGGGCAGGAGGCCCTCTGTCTGGTTCCCAGGAACTTCACTTCTGCCAGCAAGGGAACCAGCAGAAGACCCTCGGAGGAGGACCTCCCTTTCTGGACTGAGCGATGTTGGTGGAGACGCTCCTTCAGGTCTACAGTGCTAAGGCTGTTTATGGCTTAACGTTGCAGATCTTGCTTCTCCATAACGATCACCAGAGCAAGTTCCACACATAATTAGCAGAGTAGCAAAAAATGCTCAAAGGCAGCAAAAAAATTAATTCAACTGAGAAATCTATTACAGTGGTACCTCTGTTTGGGAACGGGATCCGTTCCAGAGGCCCATTTGCAACATGCGCAGAACACAAACCACGTCTGCACTATGTGCAGGTCACGATTCACTGCTGCGAATGCATGTGACAGCATTTTGCACGTCTGCGCATGCGCGAGCGGCAAAACCCGGAAGTAACTGGGTTGCCACGGGACACAAGACGGAAATGCACAACCTGAGGTAAATATAACATGAGGTATGACTGTACTGAAGACAAATAAGCATAACAGGATCCAAAAAATAGCAAACATGTAACTCACAGGAAAACCCTGACTTAGCATGCCAAAACAGCACTCAAGTAAGAAACAGACAAGCAGAGTAGAGTAATATCAGAATATGAAGTGGGACCAGGCTCATTTCAATACTGTAATTTATATATAGTTCAATGTCAGAGTAGCCCTGGGACTAGATAACAAGCCTCCAGGTGGACGTGCCCCATCTGCTCTTCACTTTCCTCTTCCGCATGGGCAGAATCTGCCTTCTGGACTGTGGGATTCACGGTTGTTCTCCTCCTCTTCATCCTTGAGGGCTTGACTTCAGGTGCAGCAGAATTCCCCAGCCCCCCAAGGATTTGAGACCCATCAGCTTTCCTCACCTGGTTTAGCCGGCCGGTTGAAGCCGTTGCTTGAACCCCTGTTGCATGCTGACAGCTTCTGGAAGCCACAGGTGAGAGCTGAGTGCAGGGTGGGGACCAAGGGTGGAAAAATGACCCCAGAAGGTGCAGGACATGTCCCCCACCAAAGGAACTACTGTTCCCAACACCCCATGACATCTAGATTCAGGTAGGTAGCCGTGTTGCACACTTCTTCAGATACAGTGACACAGATGTCACCAGACCCTTGTATATCGTGGGAGGGTGGGGTGGGGTTTTTCTCAGAAGGGTACTCCTACTACCATCTCCCACTACCCATCACTATATGAAGAAGTGTGCATGCACAAGAAAGCTTATTTCTAGAACAAACTTAGTTGGTCTCTAATGGGCTACTGGAATATTTTTTTACTTTTTTACTTCTTCTGTGTCAGACCAATATGTCTACCTACCATTAAGTACAGTTATCTCCTTGCCTTGAATATCCTGCTTTTCAGTGCCAGATTAGGATAGTCCTCTATCAGAAGACAAGCAAAGGTTCAGGCAGCACATCATCATTATAAAGAACCATTGGAGTGGGTGTTTCCGTCTGGGATTCCCATGTGCCAGCTGCTTTCTTTCTGCTTTTCCTGCTCTCTCCATGCAATGTGAGGCATCTAGACAGAGGTCCATCTCCAAGAACAGGAGCTTCCCTGAGCACCCATTCAGCTGACCCCAAGCACCAAGCCTTGTCACTAGTTCTCTGACTGACCCAGACCACAGTCCCAGGAAAAGATGTAGGCCCGAGCCTCCCAAAATGGTCCATATTGACCTCCTGAGGTCAGTGGGACTGAGCAGGTGATTCATGAAGATCTAGAGGTGGAAATGGGGGCAACCACTTGATTTGAAAGGCAGTCCCACAGGACAACAGTATTCCAAGATCATGCTGTGTTATTAAAGATGATTGAGGATTATGAAAGTTTACTGATGCAGTACTACCATTTGACATCATACCATTTTCATTTCCTAAAAATTGGGAACATGGGGAGGACATGGGAGAATGTAGGAGATGTTGAAATAAGAGAAGGTGCTAATGGCGGTTGATGTGCCCTTTTTCCCCTGTGTTCTCTTTCCTGAAACCCAAATAGGATTTACTTTTTGTCCACTCTGAAAAAGGTGATGGTGGAAGACAGAATTGCAGGGGACAAGGCACCTTTCGTTTCATTAGGAATAGCCATTAAAATGTGTGAAATGTGGAATATGCTTCACTGAATGAGCACACATAGTTCACATCAATGAACACAAAAAAGAAAGAACCCATTTAAAGGTATGTAGTTCGGAAAGAGCTCTTTCAATGCAAAACTTAGAACACACCAGCGGACTTACACAGAGAGAAAACGTTTTAAGTGCAGGGAGTGGGGGAAGAACTTCAGTCAGAGTGGACACCTCAATATGCATCAACAGACTCACACAGGGGGAAACCATATGAATGTATGGAGTGTGGAAAGAACTTTAATAATAGTGGAAGCCTTAGAAGACATGAACGGACTCACACAGGGGAGAAACCATATAAACACACATCCAACATTCAGGGAAATGGAAAAGGAAAGCTGGCCACAATCCAAGAGACTGAGGTCATCAGAAAGCAAAGAAGAGCCTACTCAAAGGGAAGCCGCTTCAGCTTCCAGCTTGTCGTATAACTGTCCCCCCCATCCTGGTCTGAAGAGACCAATACCTAAAACATATAGATGTATGGAGTGTGGAAAGAGCTTCAGTCAGAGTGGACACCTCAATAGACATCAACGGATTCACAAAGGGGAGAAACCATATAAATGTATGGAGTGTGGAAAGAGCTTCTGTTTGAATGCAAACCTTAGAACACATCAACGGATTCACACAGGGGAGAAACCATATAAATGTATGGAGTGTGGAAAGTGCTTCAGTCAGAGTGGACACCTCAATATACATCAACGGACTCACACAGGGGAGAAACCATTTAAATGTATGGAGTGTGGAAAGAGCTTCAGTCAGAGTGGACACCTCAATAGACATCAACGGATTCACAAAGGGGAGAAACCATATAAATGTATGGAGTGTGGAAAGAGCTTCTGTTTCAATGTAAACCTTAGAATACATCAACGGACTCACACAGGGGAGAAACCATATAAATGTATGGAGTGCGGAAAGAGCTTTAGTTTCAATGCAACCCTTAGAATACATCAACGGACTCACACAGGGGAGAAACCATTTAAATGTATGGAATGTGGAAAGAGTTTCAGTCAGAGTGGACACCGCAATATACATCAACAGACACACACAGGAGAGAAACCATTTGAATGTATGCAGTGTGGAAAGAGCTTTAGGGATAATGGAAAACTGAGAACACATCAACGGACTCACACAGGGGAGAAACCATATAAATGTATGGTGTGTGGAAAGTGCTTCAGTGAGAATGGAAGCCTTAGAACACATCAACGGACTCACACCGGCGAGAAACCATTTAAATGTATGGAATGTGGAAAGAGTTTCAGTCAGAGTGGACACCTCAATATACATCAACAGACACACACAGGAGAGAAACCATTTGAATGTATGCAGTGTGGAAAGAGCTTTAGGGATAATGGAAAACTGAGAACACATCAACGGACTCACACAGGGGAGAAACTGTTTAAATGTATAGAGTGCGGAAAGAGCTTTAGTTTCAATGCAACCCTTAGAATACATCAACGGACTCACACAGGGGAGAAACCATTTAAATGTATGGAATGTGGAAAGAGTTTCAGTCAGAGTGGACACCTCAATATACATCAACAGACACACACAGGAGAGAAACCATTTGAATGTATGCAGTGTGGAAAGGGCTTTAGGGATAATGGAAAACTGAGAACACATCAACGGACTCACAAAGGGGAGAAACCATTTAAATGTATGGAGTGCGGAAAGAGCTTTAGTTTCAATGCAACCCTTAGAATACACCAACGAACTCACACAGGGGAGAAACCATATAAATGTATGATGTGTGGAAAGTGCTTCAGTGAGAATGGAAGCCTTAGAACACATCAACGGAGTCACACCGGCGAGAAACCATTTAAATGTATGGAGTGTGGAAAGTGCTTCAGTCAGAGTGGACACCTCAATATACATCAACGGACTCACACAGGGGAGAAACCATTTAAATGTATGGAGTGTGGAAAGAGCTTTAGGGATAATGGAAAACTTAGAAAACATCAACGGACTCACACAGGGGAGAAACCATTTAAATGTATGGAATGTGGAAAGTGCTTCAGTCAGAGTGGCTACCTCAATATACATCAACGGACTCACACAGGGGAGAAACCATTTAAATGTATGGAGTGTGGAAAGAGCTTCTGTTTCAATGCAAACCTTAGAACACATCAACGGATTCACACAGGGGAGAAACCATATAAATGTATGGAGTGTGGAAAGAGCTTTAGTGATAAAGGACAACTTAGAAAACATCAACGGACTCACACAGGGGAGAAACTATTTAAATGTATGGAATGTGGAAAGAGTTTCAGTCAGAGTGGACACCTCAATATACATCAACAGACACACACAGGAGAGAAACCATTTGAATGTATGCAGTGTGGAAAGAGCTTTAGGGATAATGGAAAACTGAGAACACATCAACGGACTCACACAGGGGAGAAACCATTTAAATGTATGGTGTGTGGAAAGTGCTTCAGTGAGAATGGAAGCCTTAGAACACATCAACGGACTCACACCGGGGAGAAACCATTTAAATGTATGGAGTGTGGAAAGTGCTTCAGTGAGAATGGAAGCCTTAGAACACATCAACGGACTCACACCGGGGAGAAACCATTTTAAATGTATGGAGTGTGGAAAGTGCTTCAGTGAGAATGGAAGCCTTAGAACACATCAACGGACTCACACCGGGGAGAAACCATTTAAATGTATGGAGTGTGGAAAGAGCTTCAGTCAGAGTGGACACCTTAGAAAACATCAGCAGACTCACACAGGGGAGAAACCATTTAAATGCATGGAGTGCGGAAAGCGCTTCAGGCAGAATGGACACCTTAGAAAACATCAGCAGACACACAGGGGAGAAACTGTTTAAATGTATGGACTGTGGAAGGAGCTTCACTCAGAGTGGAACCCTTGATTTATGTCAACAAACTCACACAAAAGCCAAACCTTATAAATATTAGGAAAGTAGATAGAGGTTCAGTCCTAGTGGAAATTCTACATCAACAGACTCACGGACAGGAAGAACTTTAGGAGTTGAAACCCTTCAAACCATCAACAAACTCAAAGAGGAGAAGCAGTTTAAATGAAAGGATTGCAAAAAGTGCTTTATTTACAATGGAGTGTTTAAGGAACCTCCAGAGACTCTCACATGTAAGAACCCATTTAGATGTATGGAGTGTTGGACGTCTTCCTCTCAGAGTCCACTCTTTTCTTCACAGAAATGAACTCAGGAGGAAATCGGTCTTTAACACATGTTGTGTATGTGAAGATGTAATATATCTTTCAATAGAGAAGGGGAGAGGGTGTATCTGGATTACTTGGTGGTCAGTGAGGGCTGGGTGATATATTGTCCAATACTGGTTTCTTGACCACATCGTGATAACCTTTCAAAAACAATTGATATGGCAACACACCACAGATCACAGTGTGTGTTTCTGGGATGCTCATTTGTCTGGAAGCAGCCGGCAGAAAGCTTTGCTTTGTGAAGCCCCTGAGTATGCTGAGTTGCTGACTTCCCTCCCAGGCGACAGGAAGCAAAAGACACACATCCTTTGCCCTGTGTCCTTCCAGCCTCTTTCCTCCCTTGCTCCCTTCTGCAGGTTTGTGTGCCTGACTTAGATATCCTGTGTGCTGTATGATTTTACTGCTGAAACTGGATTTCCTCTCAGGAGCTAAATTTTGTGCCTCACTGGGGACCCAGTGAGAACCGTATGCTTTGAAAGCTCAGTAAACTATTACTGAAGAAGTAGAAGTCCTGCTGCCTCTGTGTGTGTTTTTGACCTCAGCATGGGAATTGCTCTACACGTGGCCCCTACCCTGCTGCTACTTGGCTTATGCCCTACAGTTGCTGTACTTAAGCATGCAAGACGGGTGCATATGTGTGTGACTAGTTTTTGCACCAAACTCTCTCACCCCCACCACCGCATGATCTCCAAACACTACTTCTTCACCAGAACTTCTCCCTTCCTCCTACACGTTCTGAAGAAAACTTGAAATACTGTAATTTAATGGGAGATTTCCCCCAAGCGTGGGGTGGGGGAGGGAAGGATTTTGCAATATAAACATTGTGGGGTGGGGTACCCCACTTTGCAAGTGGATTGCCGGGATCAGCCCCTCCCCCATTCTCCTGATTCTCAGGTGGAAGAGGGGAGGGGGGACACCTTCCTCTGCTCCCCGCCCCCCAAATTCCACCCCTTCCGGCACATCCTTCCCAGACCCCGCCTCCGCAAAGCCCAAATCCCCTCCCCAATATGTTGCTCCTCTTCCTCGCCATCCGGCTCCTGCTTCGGGAAAGTGGGGAGGGGGTGAGCCCCCCCTCCCACCCTGCCTGCTTCTCCCGCAAGTGGAGCTTCTGCGCCGGATTGCTGCTCTGCACCGTAGCTCTAGGGGGCGCGCTTTCGGAAAGGGGAGGAGGGGCGGCAGGTTAAACCCCCACCCCCACCCACGTGGATGTTGCAGGAAAGGAAAGGAGAATCGGGAGCGAGGACAAAAAGGTAAAGGGGTCGCGGGGGGAAGGGGAGAGAAGGATCCAGAGACCCCGCCAGCTCCCCAAAGCGCCTTTCGTGGATCTGGATCCCTGCACGCGTACAATGAAGGAGGTTTTCCTTGGACCCTTAGGAAGCCCACCCAGGGGATCCCACGAAGCCCCCTCGACCCATTTCCCCGCGCAGGCATCCCTGGGACTCTGTGGGTTCCGCGCGGAAAGAGGTGGGCCATGAAAGGGTTATGGGGCGTGAGGGACGCCTGGATAGTGACCCCCCTGTCCTCCCCTGCTCGTCTTGGTGGGGGGCCCTCCGGAGGGAGAGATGGGGGCGCCAAGGGGGGCCTCTGGGTTCAGTGGAGACTCTGGGAAAGAGGGAGGGAGTCGAGGAAGTGGGGAGGGGGAGCATCCCTGGGGCAGGGAAGGGCAGCAATGGGGAGGGGAGATAGGAAACCACTCTTTGGGGAGACTTATCCATAGTGGCTCCCGTGGGAAATCTCCGGAGGGGCCGCCTTGGCTTCTCCCTCCCACCCAGGAATCGGCCACCCCTTCAAGGCAGCCAGAGGGATCCCTGGAAGGTGGGGGTCCCATCCCCCCACCCCTTCCTTCCTGCAACCTCTATCATCTTCCCACCCCATAGGTCCCTGCCCTGTCCAGACTGTTGCAGGAATCTATGTATAGGTTGGGGGGGGTGGTTGTCCCTCCAGCAGATATCATGCACATGCAGCCCACCACCAAAATCAGCACCATCACTTTTGTGATTTCTTCCCACAAAACACTTCATCACAGTTTCTTCCTATCTATTCAAAGGACCTCTGCTGCACAATACCAAATGTATGAATTCACTGATAAATGTCTCTATGTACTGGCTCACTGGGGAAACTTCAGAAATTCCTACAGACATGTGAGCTCAGCTCCTCAGCAGCCCCTCTGCCTGAGTGATAATCCCTGGCATCCTGATACCTGAGTGCCAGACAGGTAGCCATTCCACAAAGAACCAACCCAGATGAAGACAAAAGGGTGGGATTAACTTGTCTGGGAAACAGGTCAGGGAGGACAATGGATGGCCGGCTGGGGGTGGGGCAAATGCCAAAGAAAAGAGGCCGACCCCTTTGTCCAAGCCCCTTTTGGTTTTCTTCCTTCCAGGATCAGGATCCTCAGGAGCGTGTCCTGGCAGCCAGATTAAGGTAAATTCTGGCGTGATTGGAAGGGACATGGCTCCTCCACCAGGCTAGGCTGCAATTTTGTGGCTTTTCTTTCTGGGCGGGAGCGCCCAGCTCGGATGCAGGGGAAACCTTTTTGTTTTGCGGTGGCGGGGGGGGGGGATAGCCATCCACCACCCTCTAGCTGTAGGCCGCATGCCGGCCATTTCCCTTCTTGGGGGGGGGGGTGGGAGGCCTTCTCAGAAGCGGCTCTTTGTTTCCTCAATCCCACCCAGGAAGCAGCCAGAAACCTTTTCCTCTCTCTCAGGCTTCCATCTTTAAGCGTCTCTTCTCTGCATGGTTCATTGAAGATGTACACCTGTTGTCAGGAACAGGGGTGCCGAGTCCATGGAATGGCTCTCAGGATTGATATAGAAGTTGCATCTCAAAGGCATTTTTGTTCCTCTAACTTTTTGTAGGCAGTGTCAGACTGACAGACAAGCTGAGATACAATCCATCAAAATTCAATGACAGCGGCTGCGTGAATCTTCCCAGTCAAAGGACCCATTTTCATGATAGACAGCCCCCGTGACTGGAGGCTCAACCCCCAGGGTGTGCCTATACAGGCCAAAGACTGCCAGCATTAGCACAGGTGAGGTGTGTGACCCCTCCCCCCAATCGACAGGCTGTGTGTAAATGAGAGTTTGTGGGTGGGATTATCATTTACGGCAACTCTGTTGTTCCCACAAGGGAGCACCCAGGGGTCAGAACACTCCTCTCCCAAGACCACTTTCTGAACAAGGCCCAGGAGGAAGGAGGGGAACCACTGCAGAGCAGGGCCCCCAGCTCCCCTAGAGGGTCCAGAAGGACACCATGGCCAAAGTTCTCCAAAGCCGCTGAGAGAACCAGCAGAACCAGGAAACAGTTTTCCCCTCGGACTCTAGCACATCGGAGATCATCATCCAGTGCAACCAGTGCTGTTTTAGTCCCATGATGAGGCCTGAATCCCAATTGGAAGGATAATGGTGGAAGAAGCTTTCCTGCTGTTCCAGGTACCCCCCTCCCCACTCATTCAGTTTGTACTTACACGACACACACAACATACACGACGTTTTTCTTATAAATTTATAGTAAATCAACTGTACATCAGATTTACAGTATTTCCCCCTCTATAACACACAGTTTTTTTCTCCTAAAAAGTAAGGGGAAATGTCCATGCGTGTTATTGAGCGAATGTGTGGTCCCTGGAACCGACTGGCCCGAGTGCATCACACATTTTCTTCGAGGGTCGTCTTCGTTGCGGTCAGCAGAAGCCAGGGAAGTGCTTGCTAGGAGGTTTGGCCACTCTGCAGCGCGACTGTGTGTTTGCTAGTGTGTGTGCTTTGTGAGTGTGTGGTTGCCTGTGTTTGTTCGCTAGCGTGGGTGCTTGGAGGGAGTGAGAGAGTGACGGACTGCTGCATCTTCTCCTGCAATTTGCCTTTTAAAAAATTGGAAGCAGCAGGGCAGTAAAAACCACCTCCGAAAGCCCCATTTTCCCCTTCTAAGGCTGCAGCTTGGCTTTGGAAGCCCTGAACCCCTGCCTTGTTCTTGAGGGATCTTTGAGGTTTCCCTTTAACCCAGCCCCCTTATTTTACCAGTTTATCTTCATTCTCGGTGCGGTAAACTGATTGCAGGCAGCCACACATGCGCGTTCGAGCCTCCCGAGAGAGAAAGCTGTTGCTTTCCTGCATTCTGCCCCAGGGTCTTACTGCCCACTTTCTTCTGTTTTGTTACTGTGTTTGCTCAAACAGAACAAAGAGCAAAGAAAACCCCTCCCCTCCAGGCAAGCAGAGGGGAAAGCAGAGCGTCCTTCCTTCTAATTCCTCTCCGTGCTGTGCTCTGGTGCTGCTGCTGCGTTTAGGGACTCGCAGGCAACATGCAGGTGGGGGGGGGGAGAGAGAGAGAGCTGGCTGGCTTGGGTGGGTGGGTGGGTGGGGAACCTTTGCCTTCCTTTCCTCCCTCCAGTTAAACCCCTCTACTGCATTCTTAGCCAGCTGTTTCTCGTGCTCCTTGCCCCTTCTATGTTTTTCCTTCCCTCCCCACTTAAAACATGGTTACAAAGCACGGATCCTCAGGATCTTTGCATTGGGTCACCCCAAATTCACCATCAATCACATTGCAATGATCTGATGCAAAAACAGGGCTGCAATGGTGCAAAAACGTGGTTACAAAGCACGGATCCACATGGATCCTCAGGATCTTTGCATTAAAGGTAAAGGTAAAGGTACCCCTGCCCTTACGGGCCAGTCTTGACAGACTCTAGGGTTGTGCGCCCATCTCACTTAAGAGGCCGAGGGCCAGCGCTGTCCGGAGACACTTCCGGGTCACGGGGCCAGCGTGGCAAAGCTGCATCTGGCGAGCCAGCGCAGCACACGGAAACGCTGTTTACCTTCCCGCCACTAAGCGGTCCCTATTTATCTACTTGCACCCGAGGGTACTTTCGAACTGCTAGGTTGGCAGGCGCTGGGACCGAGCAACAGGAGCACACCCCGCCACGGGGATTCGAACCGCGACCTTTCGATCGGCAAGCCCTAGGCACTGAGGCTTTTTACCCACAGTGCCACCCGCGTCCCTGATCTTTGCATTGGGTCACCCCAAATTCAACATCAGATCACATAGCATATCCATGGCTACAGCCTGCACCAAAAAAATCACGCACCCACTGTTGCCTGGGGCTGCAATGGTACAAAAACGTGGTTACAAAGCATGGATCCACATGGATCCTCAGGATATTTGCATTGGGTCACCCCAAATTCAACATCAGATCACATAGCATATCCATGGCTACAGCCTGCACCAAAAAAATCATGCACCCACTGTTGCCTGGGGCTGCAATGGTGCAAAAACTTGGTTACAAAGCACAGATCCACATGGATTCTCAGGATTTTTGCATTGGGCTAACCCAAACTCACCGTCAAATCACATGTCTGTGGCCACAGCATGAACCACAAAAAGAATACATCCACTGTTTCATTCAGATATTTTTTTCTTGTTTCCCTCCTCTAAAAACTATGTGCGTGTTATGGTCAGGTGCGTGTTATCGAGCGAAAAATACAGTACACCGGTCCACTTTTATTTTGCTCCATGAAGAAAGGACTATCAAAGGGGATAGGTTTAATACAGGGTGGCCATAATCCCTTGAGCATACCAGCACATCCACAGGAGCCCTGCCCAGTTGTCATGCCAACCCTGATGGTCCCAGACATAAGACCATCAAGGTAACAAAGAACTTGCATATAGGAGTGGATTCAACATGGACTGGAGCAAAGGACAATGATCAGCTCTTCCCTCTGGGGGCAGGAAACTGCAAACTCCCCTTTGTCACATGGAAAGTACTCATGGGGAGGGGGAAAGGGGGGAACCGGCCAGGTGGCAGGACACTCAGGTTACCACCACAACTCCTCCCTCAACCCCTCCTTTTTGTGATGTATCAGTGATGTAGTTGTGATGTAGTTTTAGGGGTGTAGTTTGAGGAATTAGTAACTAATAAAAGTTGGGGTCTTCTTTCTTGTGGGCTTCCATCTTGTTTCACCTGGTGGCAGGTGGGAGTCCTGTCGCGACAGTTTTCAGTAACGACCAAGCCTACAGGCTGCTGTTTTGCTCTGGTATTCCTGGCTGCTGTCCTTGTTTTTTTTCCAAGGGAGCCCTCAGATTTCTTCATTAACACTGGTCCTGCACCCCCAAAAGCTCCAGGCACAAGACTTTCATTAGCATTGAAGGGGCCATCGGATACTTGGTGATCTTTTCTTCAAAAGACAAATATTCTGAATAATTTTTAATTGATGTATGATATAAACAGCACTTCTGTTTTACATATTCCACATTAGAGAGATTTTGATACACAGGTCTGAGTTCATCGCTCCCCCTGAAACTGCTGTGTTAGCAGTCCTGCCAGCCTGGACAGTGTGTTTGGGGGTCCTGGGCTGCCTAGACAACAAGACCCCCTTCTCAGCCTGGCTTATATGGTCCCAAGGAAAGCAGAGCAGTACGTTAGGCACCAGCTTGGCTGCAGGAGTTGAATGAAGAAGATGTGCAGGACACCATCCAACTGTCTTAGAGAGTCCACTCTGGATTTGTGTAATTTCTCCTCCATAGCCTTTTCTTCTCCTGAAGATAACTCACGAGGAAGCGAAGGAGTGCACCAAAGTATTACGACCAGAGTTTTCCTTCTCGAGGAGCTCCCTTCCCAGGTTGATGAGCCCCATCTGCCCTTCACTTTCCTCTGCAGAATGGGCAGAATCTGCCTTCTTGACTGTGGGATTCACAGTTGTTCTCATCCTCTCCATCCCCCAGGGCCTTTCTTCACCTGCAGCAGAATTCCCCAACCCACCAAGAATTTGAGACCCATCAGATATCCTCACCTGGTTTAGCCGGTCGGTTGAAGCTGTTCCTGGCATTGTGGCCCGTATTGCATCCTGAAAGCTTCTGGAAGCCACAGGTGAGAGCTGAGTGCAGGGTGGGGACCAATGGTGGATAAATTACCCCAGAAGGTGCATGACATTTCCCCCACCAAAGGTACTACCGCTCCCCTAACACCCCATGACATTGTATGATTATGATCTTTAAGACAGAACAGGAATAAATTCATGTCCCCTTCAAGCCATTAGTGAATCAATACTACATTTTCAAGATACTACACATTCCACTAAGTACAGTTTATCTATTTGCCTTGAATATCCTGCTTTTCGGAGTCGTTTTAAGATAGTCCTGGATCAGAAGACGGGCACAAGATCAGACAGCACATCGTTCTTTAAAAAATTAAGCTGCTTTATTAACATTGATTGAAGATTTTGAAAGTTGCTCATAAATTACTATCATTTGACATTGCAACTTCACTTGGGAACATGGGTAGGAGGTGAGGGAATGTAGGAGACGTTGAAATAGGAGAAGGTGCAAATGGAGCTTGATGTGTTCTCTTTCCCTTTCTTCTCTTCCTTGAAACCAAAATAGGATTCCCTTTCCTCCCACTCTGAAGAAGGAGATGGAGAAGACAGTCAGAACTCCAGGGGATGGGGCACAATCCCCCCCTCCAATTAGGGATAGAAATTAAAATGTGTGAAGTGCGGAATAGGCATCATTGAATGAGCACACATAGTTCACATCAACGACCTTCAGCAGGGGAGAAACAGTTTAAAGGTATGGAGTGTGGGAAACGTTTCACTGATATTGGAAAACTTAGAACAAATCAGCGGACTCACATGGGCAGGAAAGGACTGCAATGCGGGGAGTGTGGGAAGAACTTCAGTCAACATGGACACTTAAGATTACATCAACGGACTCACACAAGGGAAAAAACTTTTAAATTTCTGGATTGTGGAAAGAGCTTCTATCGGAGTGATAAACTTAGGAGACATCAACAGATTCACACAGGGGAGAAACCATTTAAATGCATGCAGTGCGGAAAGAGCTTCTATCGGAGTGATAAACTTAGAACACATCAACAGACTCACACGGGAGAAACCATATTATTGTATGGAGTGCAGAAAGAGCTTTAGTGTTAATGGAACCCTTAGAAGACATCAACGGACTCACAGAGGAGAGAAACCATTTAAATTCCTGAAGTACGGAAAGAGCTTTAGTGATAATGTAAGCCTTAGAACACATCAACGGACTCACACAGGGGAGAAACCATATAAATGTATGGGGTGTGAGAAGAGTTTTAGTATTATTGGAAGCCTTAGAAGACATCAACGGACTCACACAGGGGAGAAACCATTTAAATGCCTGGAGTGCGGAAAGAGCTTCAGTCAGAATGGAGACCTTAAATTACACCAGCGGATTCACACAGGGGAGAAACCATATAAATGTCTGGAGTGCGGAAAGAGCTTTACTGATAATGGAACCCTTAGAACACATCAACGGACTCACACAGGGGAGAAACCATATAAATGTATAGAGTGCAAAAAGAGCTTTAGTCATAATGTAATCCTTAGAGCACATCAACGGACTCATACAGGGGAGAAACCATATAAATGTATAGAGTGCGGAAAGAGCTTCAGTCAGAATGGAGCCCTTAAATTACACCAGCGGATTCACACAGGGGAGAAACCATATAAATGTATGGAGTGTGAGAAGAGTTTTAGTATTAGTGGAAACCTTAGAAGACATCAACGGACTCACACAGGGGAGAAACCATATAAATGTATAGAGTGCGGAAAGAGCTTCAGTCAGAATGGAGACCTTAAATTACACCAGCGGATTCACACAGGGGAGAAACCATATAAATGTATAGAGTGCGGAAAGAGCTTTACTGATAATGGACACCTTAGAAGACATCAACGGACTCACACAGGGGAGAAACCATATAAATGTATAGAGTGCAGAAAGAGCTTTAGTGATAATGGAACCCTTAGAAGACATCAACGGACTCACACAGGAGAGAAACCATTTAAATGCCTGGAGTGCGGAAAGAGCTTTTCTAATAATGAAAACCTTAGAAGACATCAACGGACTCACACAGGAGAGAAACCATTTAAATGCCTGGAGTGCGGAAAGAGCTTTACTGATAATGAACACCTTAGAAGACATCAACGGATTCACACAGGAGAGAAACCATTTAAATGCCTGGAGTGTGGAAAGAGCTTTACTGATAATGAACACCTTAGAAGACATCAACGGACTCATACAGGGGAGAAACCATATAAATGTATGGAGTGTGAGAAGAGTTTTAGTATTAGTGGAAGCCTTAGAACACATCAACGGACTCACACAGGGGAGAAACCATTTAAATGCATGGAGTGCGGAAAGAGCTTCAGTCAGAGTGGACAGCTCAATATACATCTACAGACTCACACAGGGGAGAAACCATATAAATGTATGGAGTGTGAGAAGAGTTTTAGTATTAGTGGAAGCCTTAGAACACATCAACGGACTCACACAGGGGAGAAACCATATAAATGTATGGAGTGCGGAAAGAGCTTTAGTTTGAATGCAACCCTTAGAAGACATCAACGGACTCACACAGGGGAGAAACCTTTTAATTGCATTGAGTGTGGAAAGAGCTTCAGTCAGAATGGAAATCTTAGAAAACATCAGCAGACACACAGGGGAGAAACTGTTTAAATGTATGGCCTGTGGAAGGAGCTTCAGTCAGACTGGAACACTTGATTTATGTCAACAAACTCACACAAAACACAAACCTTATAAATATCAGGAAAGTAGACAGAGGTTTAGTCCTAGTACAAGATCTAAATCAACAGATTCACAGACAGGAAGAACTTTAGGAGTTGAAACCATACAAACAATCAACAAACTCAAAGAGGAGAAGCAGTTTAAATGAAAAGATTGCAAAAGTGATTTATTTACATACACTTCAGGTTACAGACTCTCCTAACCCAGAAATAGTACCTTGGGTTATGTACTTTGATTCAGCATGAGAACAGAAATGATGCTCCAGTGGCGTGGCAGCTGCAGGTGGCCCCATTAGCTAAAGTGGTGCTTCAGGTTAAGAACAGTTTCAGGCTAAGAACGGACAAATTAAGTACTTAACCCGAGGTACCACTGTATGGTTGTAAACCAAGGTTCCACTGTATACCCCCAAAGGCTATAAAAACTCCTAGGTCTGGCCAATAAACTCAGGAGCCAGGGGGAGATAAGAGTCCGACGATTTTATTACAGGCCGTCAGTATTGGGAATGGGAAAGGACCTTTCAACTTTTTAAAGAAAATTATGGGATGAGAGACTACTCAACAGCCCAGCTTGCCAGGATACAAGTCCCCTGTGGGTCCATGCGGTCAGTAAATGAAGGAAATTCCAGCCAAGCAATTTGGAGCAAAGAGCAGTCAGTAGACTGAGATCCTTTATTGTTGTGCAACAGGTTCAAACAGCAGTTAGGGAACTGACCCTGGGGCGACATTGACTTTTAAAACTTTCCCACCATATCCCAGGATACAGTTCGCACAGCATCATCAATGCATCATTGCTACATCACTAAAACGTCAGAAAGGGGAGGATTACAAAAGATTAGCATAGACAGATATGTCAGGGCAACACCCAAGTACAATATTAGGCAAACATGTCTCAAGTACCCACCACCCAAAAGGACAACAGAACTTCCTTTAATGTCTGCAGCCTGGTGAGATTTGGCTGGTGATGAGATTTGGCTTCCCTTGGCTAACAGTGAGCCCAGCAATTGTCACCTCTGGGCATTTCCTGGGGTAGGAGGTGTGTCTACACATCTTCACCCTTGGGGAGGTGGTGCTGGTTTCTGTGTGTTGCCACTGTGCCGTGCTCTTGAAGTCACAAGACTCTGTTTTGCATTCCAGAGACATTCCAGACTGTTGGAAGTCTCACGGAAGACAGGAGACGGATGTGATGTTACTGTTTCCTGTTCCTTTGTTTTTCAGTTGCTCTCTGCTTTCACAGAGAGAGCATGTATATTTCTTTTCTGTCTGCGTAGTTAGAAATAAAACTCTTTAGCAATGTAGCTAATAAACTTCTCGTCCTTCCCTGCGTGCTGGATACTCTGCTGAATCGGGAGTTTGCTTGGAGCCTCATCAAAGGCTCGGGTCATTAATCATCATCGGAGGAGCTCGGTTGAACCCAATTCCGACAGGTGGCAGGAAAAAAGAGTCCTTTTTCCAAGGGCAAAATAGCTTTGGAATGGAGGAAACTGGCAAAGGAGTTGATTTTATATGATTTTTTTAAAGCTAGGTATCTTCCCTGAGCTGTCAAGCCAAAAGGATACATTCAGGCATAATATTTGTAACATTTAACAACTTTAAGGATGTGCCCCACCCCGCCTTGTAATTTCTGTAACAAATACTTTCCTGAGATTTTTTTCTTTTGGGGTGTGTGTCACAGTTCAGCTTGATTCAGAAGAAAACATTGCTAAAGGAGGGAAAATATAAAATGCACATTGAAAACAGCATAATCAATAAGAGAATAAAATATTATCATAATCCTAGAACACAGACTATATCTTGCTTTTCACCACTTCTGGGTCTTAAATCAGCTTCCGGGCTCCTCATGCCTGAGAATTTAACTCCCTGTGTCCTCTTATTTGTCACTCTCCTCCTTCTATAGCACAAAAGTGTCACATTTAAGAAATGTAGCAAATGGTATGTGCAGAAGATAAAGATAAACTCACAGTCTCATTCTTAAATGCCATGAAGCCTTTATTATTATTATTATTAATATTATTTATACCCAACCCATCTGGCTGAGTCTCCCCAGCCACTCTGGGCGGCTCCCAATCGAGTGTTAAAAACAGTACAGCATTAAATATTAAAAACATCCCTAAACAGGGCTGCCTCCAGATGTCTTTTAAAGATAGGATGGCTGCTTATTTCCTTCACATCTGATGGGAGGGCATTCCACAGGGTGGGCACCACTACCGAGAAGGCCCTTTGTCTGGTCCCCTGTAACCTCACTTCTCGCAATGAGGGAACTGCCAGAAGGCCCTCAGCGCTGGACCTCAGTGTCCGGGTTGGACAATGGGGGGTGGAGACACTCCTTCAGGGATACAGAACCGAGGCCGTTAAGGCTTTAAAGGTCAGCACCAACACTTTGAATTGTTCTCGGAAACGTACTGGGAGTTGTTACGGTAAAATCTGGGTGCGAGGCTGCTCTGCCACCCAGCTCATCGGACTAAGTCCGCGGGTCCCTGCGGAGGAAAAATGAGCTCAGCCGGAGACAGGAGCAAGCTGCAGAAGATCCAAGTTTATTGCACAACAGGTTCAAGGCAAGATTGAACAGCGAGAAAGGGGTGACATTAACTTTTAAAACTTCCCTCCATGTCCCAGAATACAGTGCAAAATACATGCCAGTTACATCATGAATACATTAAGAAGAGGCTGGGTTACACAGGATTAACATATGGAGGAGGGAGGGGGAATATGCAGAGCTGGAGATATGCGCAGATAAGCACATCCTGAGTATCAGTGATGAGAAGACAATGGTCCATGTTTGCATACTTCCGGGTTAGCACCAGCGGCTAATTTTATACAATTTTAAAAAGATTTAGTCCAGTTTATATTGATAATTGAGGTCGGAAACAAAATAGATACATTGTAGCAAGATTTGACACTTTTATGAGTTCACAAGTTTTGGTTCCATTGTTCTCCCAGCGGGGAGCCGTCAGCAGCTTGTCAAGAGGTTAAATGAGGCGTGCAGGAGTTCGCTGAGCTAACTCTGCAAGGCGAATGCATGGTTCTGATTGGGTAGAACGCACCCATTGAAAGAATAGGGAATACAGCTTCATACAGTCGACCCATAGTAAAGATAGAGCAGGGAGGGAAGGCATAAGGTTTTGGGGTTATTTCGCCCGTAATAGCGGAAAAGGGGAAAGGCACTTTATTTATGGGGCTTGGGGTAGAGTGTGGTGCTTGTGCAACGGTGTGGGGGCTGAGGGGTCCACGTGGGGCTGGGTGCCCTTGAGGTCATCGCCTCGGACCCTCTGGTGACCGGCGGAAGGGTGAAGAAAGGCATGCCCCCCCTTCCATATCAGAGCCAATGCAGATCTCTCAGGAACGGTGTTATGTGGTCTGGGCAGCCACTCCCAGTGACCAGTCTAGCTGCCACATTCTGGATTAATTGCAGTTTCCGGGTCACCTTCAAAGGTAGCCCCACATAGAGCGCATTGCAGTAGTCCAAGTGGGAGATAACTAGAGCATGCACCACTCTGGCGAGACAGTCCGTGGTCAGGGAGGGTCTCAGCCTGTGTACTAGATGGAGCTGGTAGACAGCCGCCCTGGACACAGAATTAACCTGTGCTTTCATGGACAGCTGTGAGTCCAGAATGACTCCCAGGCTGCGCACCTGGTCCTTCAGGGGCATAGTTACCCCATTCAGGACCAGGGAGTCCACACCTGCCGCCTCCTGTCCCCAAAGAACAGTACTTCTGTTTTGTCAGAATTCAACCTCAATCGGTTAGCCGCCATCCATCCTCCAACCGCCTCCAGGCACTCACACAGGACCTTCACCGCCTTCATAGGTTCTGATTTGAAAGAGAGGTAGAGCTGGGTATCATCCACATACTGGTGAAAACCCAGGCAAAAGCTCCGATGATCTCTCCCAGCAGCTTCATATTGATATTAAAAAGCATGGGGGAGAGGACGGAACCCTGAGGTACCCCACAAGTGAGAGCCCAGGGGTCTGAACACTCATCCCCCACCACCACTTTCTGAACACGGCCCAGGAAGAAGGAGCGAAACCATTGTATAACAGTGCCCCCAGCTCCCAGCCCCTATGGATGGTCCAGAAGGCTCTGTGGTTTAACCCACAGCTCCACCCACATCCCTATACCCAGCCAGATAGGAGGACTTCCGGGTTGGTGCCTCTGGGCAATGGCGGATTTCCTCTGACTGGGAGGAATCTGCTCTATGGAAATTTGGGTCTGGCCGCTACGGCGAAAGCGGAGACCCATGGAAATCACAGGCAGGAGAAGCCTGTGAACATGGGATTCGGTGGGCACCTTCTGTGCCTCCCCTACTCGCGGGGAAACCTGGTTTCAGGGATCCAGAGTGACGTGGGGTGAGTGGCACGGTGCTTCGAATCGTCTGCTTCTTCCACGGAGTGAAGCCGCATAGCTGTTGCCGGAGAGCACTGACTTTTTCCTGTGGACAATTTGGACTCCAAAGTAATTACCCGTGAGTAGAGCTGATATGGGAGAATTGGATTTTAAACGTTTAATTTGGTATCGAAACGGGGAGGTTCAAAACAGGAAGTCCGCCTTCCCTATTTGTAAATAGACTGAGGCATGGAGTCTCTAAGCTGAAGTCTTGGAAAGCCTTTTGTAAAAGATTAAATCTCCTTCGGCAAAGAGTATAAAACCCCCCTTGGAGGCAGGAGAAGAGGGGGGAAGTTGTGGACTAAGTATGCCTGCAGAAGAGAGTAAAGAGAGGTAAAGTACTGCCGCTCTGACCCTGGAAACGGGCTGCTAGTGGGACTGACGTTTTGGAATGTCCATTGACAGCACTTAGAACGTTCCTTGACAGCTAGCAAAATAAGAGAGAGAGATTGTTTCCACTGTCTCCGGCTGCTTCTAAAAAGGAGTAATAAAGTAACTGAAAACTGAAACTAACTTTGGATTGCGCTTAAAGGTGATA